GAGGCCCAACAAACATAGTGTATTGGAGACCATAACCATATATTTACAGGTTAATTCAAGGGTTTCCCATAATCCCGTCATGGACTCATAATAAAGATCACTCGTATGTCCATTAAATAACTCAAATATAATTGCTCTTTAATTTGTTACCCACATATCAATTAATTATTAAATTAATTCCAACGTTAGCTACTAAATACTTGGGAAATTTAGCATCTGTGGATGAAGTCGAAGCTCTTGCTGCGATGGAGGGTCTTCGTGCGGTGTTGGAGGCGGGGATTTATCCCATCTAATTGGAAACGGATTCGTTGCGTATTTTCAACCTATTTGATCGGAATGAAAGAAGATGTTTGAGAATAGGTTATTACATATGCGAACTCGTTTCTCTCAAAGCGCTTGCATGGGACATACAGATTTACGAAAAGAGAAGGAAATTCTGTTGCGCATCTTTTGGCGAGAAGGGCTCTTTTGCATTAGGAAGATTTTGTATGGATTGAAGAATGGCCGAAGATCTCGATGGTTTTAGCTTCTCAGTGCCTACATCTTCTAATGTAGTTGTTTTAATTTCTATTTCCTTCAAAAGAAAAAAAAAGGTAATCCTCAATGTTCCATGTATGTGTCGTACTTCTACTGTCCAAATGGTTGTCCGCATGGCTGCCAATTTATGATTCATTTGGAGATGGAAAAAATCATGTTAAAATTTTAAGCAAAATGTGTATTTCCTATTTTAGTTTTATATTTTTATTTTTTATTTTGTCCAACCTAGTATTCTATCATTGTTCGTGTCGTTACTAGTTTTGTTCCTTAATTTTACAATAAAAATCAATTTTTTTAAAACATATTTTTGTTTAATGTCATTCATATCTCAAACTTCACGGATGGCCCTCCTCTTTGATATTTTTTTCTCTCCTAAGTTACTTTTTTTTTATAGCTCATTTTTCTCTAAATATCCTTTGAATCGTTTGATTCTAAAATTACTTTCGAAAACAAACATTAATCATTAAAAAACAAATTTAGTTAAATCAAAATCACTTTTAAAATAATTTATAATTAACCACTTTTAAAAAGTAATTATAATTAATATAGGCTAAAAGTACACTTATTTTAAAATCACCCCAAATATGTTATATATATTTTCCTCGTCGAATTAAAAAAAATAATTTTTAAAGTAATTTCAAGTCAATCATTTGGCCAATAATCCATCTTAATTGACTAGTGATTTTGAATTCATTTCAAAAGTGATTTTGGATTTTTCTAAAATCACTTGCATGAAGGATTTGTTGGCATGACTTAGGTGATTTGACACCCCAAAACAAACATGTCTCAGTAACTTTTTTATTCTCTCCTTATATATTCTATCTCTCAATGATTTTTCTTTATATAAAATTTTTATTCATTTCTATTACTCATCATTGTCTCTAACTCGTACTTCTCTAAAATTTTTCTTTTATCTCTTTCCAATATTTGAAAAATATAAATACGAAGATAAGTCTTATAAATATACTTTAAAATATATATTTTTTAAAAAAAACTTTATTTTATTTTTATATTTAAAAAATAAAACCATAATTTTATAATTATTATGTAGTCTATTAAAATTTAGTTTTTAAATAAATTATTTTCCTTTTTAAAAGAAAACCTTATCAATTACATTTCATATTATACTTTCAAAAAATAGAGAACTAAAATAGTTGCAAAACATGTCTAGTTTTGTTTTTAAAAAATAAAAATTTTAAACGAAAAAAAAGATAGAATAGAATGATGTAAATTTTATTAAAAAAAAAAGAGCAAACAAAATTATCAAAAGGGGCATAGGCTTTTTTTTTCATTTTCTAAAAGTACTTATTGTTATTTTTTTAACTTATAAAATCCATCATAAGTATAAATCGAATCAAACTGGCATAAAACGAATATTTCATGTAAAAATTTTAATTTTGGAGTAAAATTTTAATGTTTTTTAATTTAATGTTTTTTTAGAAAGCAATTTAACGTTTTAGAGGATTAGAAATATGAGAAATAAAAGTGCATTTATGATTCTTTTTTCATTGGAAAAGAAAAAAGAAATGGTTATCTTATACATCTTTTTTGTTCTAAAAATACCAAAAGCAAGAAAGAGAAAAAGAGAGAAAAAAAAAAGTGAGATGTATACACATCACATCTAGCCCTAGTACAAATATTTACTAAAATGTCAGGTTTTGAAAAAAGAAAAGGAAAGAAAAAACATTAATTCAAGGCCATTATTTTAAAGTTTAGGATATGAAGTGATTGATTGATTCAATTATTATTATTATTTTTTTTTTTTTTTTGGTCCAAACGTAAAACAAAGAAATTGCTATGTTAAGGTAATCAACATTAGACAAATTACATGTTCAAGCCAATGAAGATTGCTGACTAAGAATCCTTTATCCCTTTTACAAAGCAAAATAAAATAAAAGCAAAACTTTTGACCAACTTTTCTTGGTTAACTTTTTTGTAAGATTGTTAAAGAAATTGGAATTACTTTTTGGCCCACTAATTTAGAGGAGATTTGAGTCACTTCTCATCAAAAGGAAGCATTCTCATCATGGAAATTTTGGGAAAAAGGTAAACAAAGCTTTCATTTAGCTTTTTGTTTACCTTTTTATATTGCTTCAATGAGAAAAGAAAATGAATAAATGAATAAATATTTATTTATTTATTTTGTTACTTTTTGTTTGTGAATTTTTCTATAAAAATTTGAAAAAACAAAAGGTAAACTTGCTTTCCTCCCTACCCTAGCTTTATAACAATCAATATGATTCTTATCTTTGTGAGCAAAAAGTTTACTTTTACCCTTATACTTATTTTAACAAGTCAATTTTCACTTTAATATATATTTTTTATATTTCATTAAACTTTAATATATATTATTTATATTTCATTAAATTCAACCGGATCCGGAGTGAAGTTAGTACTTAATCAAAATTAAATTTAAAAAAATGTTTATGAACTAACTAATAAATCACACGAAATTCAACCAATGGAATACTCGAAATAAGGCTACAAATTTTCTAGAACTCATCTATAAGACGAACTTGGCAAGTAAAGATATTGGTAGCTCTTTTACCACTTTTTCAAATTTAAGATTCAATGGAGTGAATTTCAACGTTTTGAAGTTTGAAATTAAAATTTGCTATAGTATTTTTTAAAAATACCTTGATTCTTGTGCTACCTTCCCATCACCCTTGTTAGAAAGCTAGATGGGAATTAAATGTGAAGTGATTTATCACCCAATATTTTGGTTTGGTTGGTAACTCTCATGGAGGGTGAATATTAATGATGCCATTTTAAAGGGGACATCCCCTTCTTGCTTTCAATTTCAACTTCATAATATGGTTTTCTTTTCCTCTCTCTCTTTTGGAACAAATTCCTTTTTACTTCAATGTTGTGTACCTTTCTCACACGGTATTTTACCTATTTTTCGTTCTCGAAATTTACATAAAAGTTTGTTTCTCATATGGGTGAGTGAAGACATATTTAAGTTTGGTATTGAATTCGAAAATGAGATGATTTAGAGTTTTTATTAAATATAGGAAGAACCAAAATGAATATTTATATACATTTAATGCATGTTTGGTATACCAGGTGGATTTTGGTGAAAATTCAGATTCATTTATTTATGTAATCCACATTCATTTATTTATGTTTTTTATTTTTGGTGTACGAAATTATTTCATTGATGAATGAAATTACAAAAATGGGTCGATGATGGGAGATTACATCAAACTATTCCAACTAAGCAAAAATAAAGATAAACTATAGTTATGTAAGGGGAGCATTTACAACAAGATATAGCCCAGTGTACTATATCTTAAACAAAAAACCAGTCAAATAAGTGTGTTTTTCCATGAAAGATCCGCTGATTTCTCTCCCTCCACGTACCCATAAAAAGACCCTCATGAAAATATTTGCAGATTTTGAATTTGATAGTTTATGCAAAGAATTGCATTAAAAGAAATAAAAACATTGATAAATATATTATTTCGATGTTATACCTTCATTTCATTGTTTTCTGTCAAAATTAAAATATGTAAAATATAATATATGATAAATTATATAATATTACAAGATAACAATTTTACAAGATTTATAACATATACCTCAATAAGTTAATTAATAATATTTAGTTATAAGTATTGCTTGTTTACCTATTCCATTGGTACATCTATCTTTTGCTCATCTGTACGTATGTGCTTTAGTCCTGATTAGGTTCAATAGATGATATGGTTTTGAGAATGTGTAGTATCGCTTTTATATATATATATATATATATATATATATATATATATATATATATATTAAAAATGTCTATTTTAATATTTATACTTTTTTAACTTTGGTTCATTTTAGTTCATGTACTTTGAAAATGTTCATTTTAATTTTGTACTTTGTGATACTTTTAGTCCATCTTTTCAAAATTTTAATACAAATTTTACACATAATAGATACTCTTTAGTATAAAGTAATATTTATATTTTAAGAAATTTATTGTTTGTGATGACGTATTGAAATTATGATAAAAAAAATCAGACTAAAAATAAAATGAATTGACCAAAATGGTCGATCTCAAAAGTACAATGACCAAAATAAACATTTTGAAAGTTACGAACAAAAGTTGAAATTTCATAGATCAAAGAAGTCCAGGTCCAGGGACTAAAATAACCGAAGCTAAAAACACACAGACCAAACTAGTATTTTAACCTATATATATTTTAGTACAACTGTGAGTGTGGAGATTCCAATACCATTTGGTCGAAGATAGATGTCTTAATAGGTTGAGCTAATGTTACATGCGACATATATTGAAGCTATTTAAATTGATTGAGATGGATATTCAGCTGGCAAAAATGGACAATAAAATAAAAGCAAATCGCCAAAATGATTATTCTTTCAAAGGTTGAAAGACAATATACATTTTGGAAAATTTCAAAGAACCAAAATCGTTAAGGACTGGTTGGAAACATAAACTTCAACACAAAATACCTCAGGGAGAAATGTAAGATTGATAATAAAACTAAACTGGGGAACAAAAAACATAAAGCCTATGTACCAAATTTCTGGCAAAGCTTTCACAGATATATAAACAGCTTTAAGACAGTTCAAAAAAAAAAAAAAAAATACAATTTATGTGCTCTGATGCAAAACCCTATAAAAGCGAATAAAAGCTTCCAGTTTTAGCTTCCAAGATATGAGGAGCTTCTCTAAAATGGCCTTTGCCATCTGCATTAGTTTCTGAAGTTTCAAAAACAGTACCTTTCGAAATGGTTTCCTTCGGGTATGGACGAATTCCGAATGTTGCCCATATAGGACTCCTCGAAGCCTCGCTCGGGTTATCGACTCGTAATGTCTTTGGAACCACAACGCATTTCTCTGACTTCTGTTCTTCTTCTGTTAGGCTGTTTGCATCTCTTGAATGCTTTCCGAGCGTAGGCGACGAGCTCGTGGGGCAGCTGCCAATGGTGGCTGGGGATGTTTGAGATGCACAAACATCAGAAGGAACAACAGTTAAATTTGTGGCACCGGTTGCAGTCCACACGGGCGTACAACCCCAGCACGAAGCTGGCACGAATTGCAACGGAAGACTCGGGGTGCAAAAGCCTGGAACAGCCAGCATTGTTGCAGGGAGCCACTGAACTGGATTGGGGTGAGGGCTAGTATTCGGTACACTCGTGCTATCCGAACTCTGTGCCATTGCTGATGAAACTACGCCGTTGCTGCCCTGATTCAATGGAAAAACCAATTGTGGAACGGAGTAACAATGAACGGTATTTGATGCAGCGATCTCGCTACTCGAACCAGACAATCTCACTGCCTCCCTCTCGACAACGCTTTTGGGCAATTCGTTTCCACGTATACTAGTTGTTGTCATGGAAGATCCGCAGGAGGATGGTTCTTCTGGACTATCTCTGCAATATGCAGAGCCAATCTCAATGGATCTCTTCTGGTCTCCAAGACTGAGCACAGTCTCCATAGATTCACAGAGTGGTGCTTCAGGTCCAAACTTTAGGACAGTACCATTTCCAGTTGAAGGCCTCAAACTAGGAGGAGACTCGATGCCCGAAAGCAGCTGATGGTGATTGGTCGTATCCGATGTTTCCAACCGGGTGGTTGCAACTCCCTCAGATGATACTATTATCTGTCGATACTGAGACGCTAACTGCTTGTTCCTTCGTCGTCCAGCACCGATAGGAACGTTTCTCATCGTCCCACCAGCAGTCCAATATCTTTGGCAGTTCTTGCAAAAGTGCCTAGGTTGATTGACATTGTAGTTGTTGAAGTAACAGAATTTCGTTTCCAAACTGTTACATCTTGGACAAGGAATGATTTTGTCTGGCTTCTTGAAAACTCTCTCTTGCTCCGTGCTGTTACCATCCGCCTGCTCCTCTTTCGAATGGGGATCCAATTCTTCATTGTTCCCATTCGAAGCTTGGTTTTCTTCATTATCGCCTCCCAAAACCGAAGACCTCTCCGACGGGCAAGAGTCTTCTGCACCCACCAACACAGACTCCTCAGCTTTTTTCAAAGTGTTGCAAGCATCCTGAAAACCATATCCAACAAATTGACACTCTAGCAACAGTCGAAACGACGTATTAATCGAACGTCGAGAACAAGCCAAGAAACGCCTCAAAAATTCTATACTCAAAGGTGGGCAGGCTTTGAAATGGACATTACAAACAAGACTTCACAGCACTTTCCAAATCAGGAAAACAGTCACATTCATTCAGGTAACAAAGATTGTAAAATATGCAACATCAATGACAAAGAAACAAAACAGGAGACAACAGACAAATGAGCAAAATTCTTCCATTCATTGAACCATTTCTACTCAACACCCTCGATGGATCTACTACCAAACTGAACACAAAAAACCCACTTCAATTTCCCATTCCAATTTGGCTCCAAACTCTC